ATGGTGCCCCCATGGTATGATCAGGGGGTGATCATCATAATGTAGGTGGAGTTGGATGGTCGAATGTGGCAAAGGCAAGGAACACCCCCATGAGGTGATCAACTTACACCCCCGTGAGGTGGTCAGGGTGGGTCATCAACGTACGACCCCCATGAGGTGATCATACACGGGGGAATGGGTCACCCTTTCATGCCCTTAACCATTTTTCTCTACAGACAAGCAAAGCTACGGAGAAGATACCACGAGTAGGGAATGAAGTCTCAAGAGGAGGGCACTACCATCGTTAGGGCATCAGTGGAGCAGTTAAAGAGAGTAACCGTCACTCCACTTCAGCAGAGCGGTTTTTGAAAGCAGTTACTTCTTGTGGCTATAAATAGAAGGTGAAGACAACAGTGGAGAGGTTCTCCAAAATCACGCCAGACAACACAATGTCAATTTTTATACTTTTATTTTTTCCTCTGCAAATTTAGCCATAGTTGTAGATGTGGAGCCTCACTGAACCTCCATAGGAGTAGGGCTAAGTTAATGTAGATCTGTCTCATAGTTATCAGAATATTGAACACCCTTGTTTGAACTTTGTTCAAAGAGGTGTGAACTGTGTTGTTCAATCGTTTGTTTGGAAGTCAAAAGGTGCAATTCAATTATATTCATCTAGATTTTCTGGTCGCGAAAACAAATTGACACACCTGGTGGGACACGTGTGTCAAGGGTCCCACCACAAAGAAAATCCCTTGGGAACCGACAGAAAGAAGCTCTCCCCCTCTCTACTAACATCAACGACTCTCTTGCTAGGGAATAGTAACGACCAGGATGCCTCACTTGGCTTTGAAATTCAAACAATTCAAATTCATATCATCTATCACCGAAAAGTTCTAACAAATCATTCAAACTATCTCACAAAAGAATTCAACATTTTTGGAATAAATTTATGTCAATAATAAGAATGACAATCCATAGAGAAACAAAAAATAAATCTGACAAGGAGGATGGAAGATAAAATAAAAGGAAGCATAAACAAAATTAGTGATTAAAAGTTGGATGGTTTTGAACTAGTTTACGATTAATGTATTTTTTGTTCTCAATCTTTTGTGGTTAAAGTAGTCAACCAGTACGGACCAGTCAAATCGTGATGGTTCATCTACTGTCATGTCAAACCGTTTAAAATCGTTTGGTTAATCTCCAACCATCCAATCAAATGAATCAAATAGATATTTTATCTGATTTAGTGGTTACATCTATTCTACTGGCCCAACCACTAATCTGATCTGTTTCTTTCTTGTTAGAAAACTTCAAAACGTAAGCCATTATTATTATTATTATTATTATTATTATTATTATTATTTTAAATAAAATTATTTGTCTTTCCCGCCCTACCGCTCAACAGTTATTGAAACTCATTAGTCATTACTCTATTTCCTTCAAATTGAATCAACCGCTTGCATGCATGTAACCGTGCGCGGGCAAATCCCATAGTACCGCATCACGAAACGCTGCTTCATCGCTCTATAAAACCCACCGTTGTTGCCTCTTCACACCCTCACGCCACACAATATTTCACATTACAACACATCATCGTCACACTCACACAAACATTCACATCATGGCGGCGGCGGCGACAGCATCAGGCAGCAACGGCAACGGGAACAAGAACTTCCACCTCAAAGTGGTGGCCATCGTGACCACCGCCACCGGCCCCAACGGCGCGCTCGTCACGAAGGAGGACGAGCGCGTGTTCACCCTTCCGCTCGAGCCGATGCTGAACGAGGACAGCGCGATGCCGTACGTGCGCAAGGTGGTGGAGTCCTTCCTCCCCATGAAGATCCCGGACCCCGAGGACAAAGTCGCCATCGTGGACAAGATCGCCGACGTCGCCCTCCGTCTCTTCGTCGCCCTCGAAGGTGACGAAATTGACAACAAGAACAACAACAACAAGACTGCTGCTGGTGGTGGTTCTGGTTCGATCGGGGCTGCGAGCCTTGGTTTGGAGAGGAGGTGGTTTTACGCCAAGGATGGACTGCCGATGACCAAGGTGACGATCTACGTCGCCCAGGATGGTTTCGTCTCCGTTGTCGGCGACTTCGAGTTGGATGACGACGAGGATGATACTGATTCTGATTATGAGGATGAGGAGGATGACGAGGAGGATGACGAGGAGGAGGAAGAAAGTGGTGTTGAGGCTATGGAGACGAAGAAGTAGAAGATCGAGTGGTGATGGTGTTTGTTGTTGTGGTGGCTGTTGCCCTAGCAATGGCTACGTGCATGCATGGTGGCCGGTGTGCCATGATATTATTATCTATTACTAAAACTGTTTCTGTTTTTTTGTGTTCCAATAATAATCCAGTGTTTGGTGAACTGGGGTTTGTTGTTGTTGTCAGTGGTTGGTCACTGTTTATGTATGAGGAGAATAGTTAATGTCTCCATTTTTATAATAAGGTGGTCGAACAATTCTGTGTTGTGATGATATATGCTTGATATGGGTATTATTGAAGTGGAATATTTTCATGCATTTCCCAAGTTTTTTTTTATGTTGAAAAACTTGTTGTTGGAGAAATGTTTGTTGTCATTGTGAACATAGAAACAAAAAAAGAAGCTTTTACTATCCGACTCAGGAAAAAAAAAAAAAAAGGTTATGTATGTTTGTCAAAGTCGAAATAAAAGTAAGTCTGATAGAGTTCTTGTTTAACTGTTGTATGGAGACAAGACTGTATGCAAAAGTTGGAAACCAATAACAAGACATTAGCGAGTAGAAATTCCACTAGGGAGCTTAACAATGCCTTAAAGAAGAAATAAATGCTACTGTAATTAGATAAGGGAATAATCAAAAAATGAGATTAAAAACAATTAGAAAAGGAAGTAATAGCATGTTCGAGAAGCGGATGTTTACTGGGTACAAGAAATCCAGAGCACCCCGTTGTCGACGATTCTGTTCAACGGCGACGAAACAGGGCATGAGAGAGGTGGAATTGGTTGGGATGATCTGCGCAGCATCGAGCCTCTCTGAAACTGAGGCTACACTCCAAATTTCTCCAGAAAGCTCATCCGCACCTTCCATTGGAACGACGGTACCTGAATGACTGAATCCAATTCGACCCAAAAGTGCTCTGAAAACGGCAAAAGTCGAAGGAAATTCGAGCTTATTGGGTGGACTCATTGGCGGTGATTCGATCCAAACGGCTGATGCAGAATCAATCGTTATCGATCCAGGAAGCTGTACGAACGATTCAATTCGACTGGAGGCGCTTGCATAAAAAACCCCAAATCTGAATTGCAATTTATGGGTTCGAAGAGTTCAGACAGTGGCGGGAAATAAGGAAATCACGATTCAATGACAGAGACGATGATTCGAAGGTTGAAACCGGCCCAGAACTTCAATTCGAAGGCAGGCGAAGCTAATGGTGGCCTTGAATTGTGCTGTAGATCCCTGAGGAAGAAAGCCCCAATTTTGAGTCTGACGAACATTGACGAAGTTGGGCAGAACTTCTAGTTCAAGCTGCCATCTTACGATCCAATTTGGGAGCGATTCTCTGATGAACATGAGACACGGAAGGCCAAAGCTTTGAGGTCAAAGCTTTTTTATGGGAGAGGGACTGATATGATCTCAATTTGGACATTAATACGAATGGAATTGATCGATCATGAAGGCAAGCTAGGCACGTTGAAGAACACTGATTTTTGCCTAAGTGTTTTTGATAGTTTCATGTGTCAACTTTGGACGAGCATAATTCGCAATTGACTTGGTGAAAACTCGGGTTCTTGGGCTTGTTTTGAAGAGGGAGAGCTGTTTGTTAGAATGAAGTGTTTTGGAGCTCGAGCTGAGATCCAGAAGAGGGCTTTCCAGGACGATCAAGATGCTAGCTCGACACTGGCAAGACAGCCAGATTTGGCTATGTATGGGATTGTAAGCGAGGAGTCATCTTTGGAGCTCTCGTCGAGGAGCAGGAAAGAGAGTCGAGATTCATGGGTTGTCATCCATGAGATCACGCATCTTCTTCTACAATGACGTGGGATTGGGTGATGAGTTTGATCCCTGGGAGTGCTCGAACGAGAAGCTTCAAGATTGTACCGACACTTGTTGGAGGAAGAGCAATCCAAATCCGAGACAGATTAGGATTCTGCCGCTGTTTGTTTTAATTTCCTTTTCCAGTTAGAATTTGTGTCGATTTGAGTTATAGCATGTTTAGGATATTCTTTACTTGCATTGTAAGATTAGTTAGCCTATTTAAACTCTCGTCTACAATGTAAATCGCCAGTTTTTTGTTCATTGAATACAAAATTGAGCTTTGATTCATCTCGCAAGTTTGCTGGAGGAATTGAGTTAGATTTCTTGGAGGATTCTAAGCAATCAAGCGCTTGTATCGATCAGCTAGTCACGCTGATTCGTGGCCAAGCTTCTACCCTAAGCTTCGAGTCTTTCTCCCGTTGCGAGGATTGCACGAAGTTCCATTCCCATTCATCGTTTTAACCATGTTTCTGTTCGAGGAATTGAGCTAGGAGCTCAATTTGATTCTCAATTGCGCAACTCTGATCATAAGGCCCTAACTGGGGTTTTATCATGAAGTCACTATGAAGATTTGTCAATGTTTTTAGACTCGGACCAGATTCTTAACTGGAAAAGTTGATGATTCAACGGTTAACCGTTATGGAGCCGCTAATTAATCGTTGATAGAACCGTTGATGCACTTTAATATAAAAGACAAAAATCAACCGAACAATCATTGTTACTGACTTAGTGGTGATCCGATTTGGTCATTCGTTAAAAAACTTCAAATGTTAGGTAATTTTTAAAACATTTTGTTTTAATTCCCGCACTCCCGCTCAAACTATTGAGTATTGACCATTATTCCCTTTCAAAATGAATCAACCGCTGCATGCATGTAACCGTTCGCGGCAAAATCCCATACGTCCATCTCCCACCTCTCTCCAACCATCGCATCGCACCGCGAAACGGTGCTTCGTCCGCTCTATAAAACCCCACCGCCGTCCGGCCTCTTCCCACCCCGCGCCACATAATTCCCTACGTTAACATCACATCATCGTCACACAAACATTCACATCATCCTCCACACCATGGCGGCGGCGGCAGGCAACGGCGTGAACAACAAGAACTTCCACCTCAAAGTGGTGGCGATCGTAACCACCGCCACCGGCCCCAACGGCGCCCCCGTCACTCGCGAGGCCGAGCGCATGTTCACCCTTCCGTTCGAGCCGATGCTGAACGAGGACAGCGCGATGCCGCACGTGCGGAAGGTGGTGGAGTCCTTCCTCCCCATGAAGATCCCGGACCCCGAGGACAAAGTCGCCATCGTGGACAAGATCGTCGACGTCGCCCTCCGTCTCTTCGTCGCCCTCGAACGTGAAGAAACTGACAACAACAACAAGACTGCTGCTGCTGCTGAGGCTGGTTCGGGGATTGCTGGCTTTGATGCGGAGAGGAAGTGGTTTTACTCCAAGGACGGCCTGCCGCAGACCAAGGTGACGATCTACGTCGCCCATGATGGTTTCGTCTCCGCTGTTGGCGACTTCGAGTCGGAGGACGACGAGGATGATACTGATTCTGACGAGGAGGATGATGATGGTGAGGAGGAGGAAAACGGTGTTGAGGCCATGGAGAAGAAGTAGAAGATCCAGTGGTGTTTTTTGTGGCTGTTGCCCTAGCAATGGCTACGTGCATGCATGGTGGTGTGCCATGATATTATTATTATTATTATTATTATTATTATTATTATTATTATTATTATTTCCCATTACTAAAACTATATGTCTGTTTGTGTTCAATAATTATCCAGTGTTTCGTAAACACTGAGGTTTGTGGTTTCGGGTCGTCGTTTGTAATGTGAACGACTAGTAGTAATATTTTGATGTCAGTGGTTGGACGCTGTTTATGTTGAATGAGAACCGTTAGTGGTCTCCCTTTTGATAATAATATATGGTCAAACAATTATATTCTATCTCGTGATATTGATAAGGGTATTATCGTAGTGGAATATTTTTCATGCATGTATAGTTTCTGTTGAAGCCATCTTTGACAAATTTAATGAGATTGAGATTGAGCATATCATCTATATAGATAACTATGAACAACACACGACCTTGACACAATGATTAGTATGCATGAGATTGAGCATAGTTTGCTGTGGAACGCTCTCATCTTTGTTCATTCCTTTGAGCTACAAGGAGAAGATATCGGTTTGAAGTAGGAGAGTGAGAGGTTCGAGGAGTGGAAAATGAAGTAAATTGAGGTGTATGCGTTTGAGACATTTAGACTCAACAAGGTCAATATGCTTGTAAGGAAACACAGTTTCATGGAATAAAACATCTCTACTAATGTCTACCTTATCAACTTCTATATCCATACAACTTATAACCCTTGGTACCCAGTGGCGTAGCCAGGATTTTCGTTAAGGGTGTTCCAATTTTTTAAAAATAAATATATTTTATATGAGAAACTATTAATTTTTGCAATGACTCACATTAATTCTCTACTATAATAAAATATTCTTTATCATATTCTTTATCTAGACTATCAAAGATGTTATTGTATATATAGTCTACCGACTAATGATTAAATAATATATTCCAATCCAAGACAGGTTACGTAAAGACGCCCTAGCGCTCATGGATAGCCGACGAAAGTTGGTTGATTGGAACGGTAGAGTCGAGCGACTTACCGATCATTTTTTAGAGGAAAAGATTTGAATCAAATTGAAAAGGGAAACATAGTTAAACACTACAACAATAAGTTGACTTAGGGATATTGTGACGATAAGATTCACCAAACTAGCAATTATCTAAAAAGTCAGAGATTTTAAAAAGTTGGATTAATTGTATGTGATTTTTAATATCTAATATGATTTATGTACAAACTATGATTATTTTTTTGGTAAGGACTATGACTTAATCTATATAGTTGAAGAAAGTTTAAATATATATTGTTGATTGTAGTTTGATGATAGAAATACCAAATACTAGGAATATGGTTCCATGTACATTGTTTAATTACAACCAATCTAATATACCCCTCTTTTAACCTTGTTCTCCCAAGGCAAGGGTGTGCCATGGCACCTCCTCCTAGCATGCTGCCTCCGCCCCTGTTGGTACCAAAGGGATATCCAAGGAAGACGGCATCATTTCCTGTTGGAGAAAACTTGATTTTTCCATGATCCAGGTTGTTAGAATAAGTTAGACATCCAAATACGTACTATCAAACTGGTATAATCTGGAGTTACCTCAAACAATTTATCAAAATGAGTTTTGTTGTCAAGAATAGGAGTTGGTGTCCTATTTATCAAATATGCAATACAAAGTAGCTCCAGAAGCTTATAGGCAATCCACTCTGAAATTTTAAGAAACTTAGCACCATTAACAAGTTTTGATGTTTTCTCTCCACCATTTCATTCTGTTGAGCTATCCAATAAAACTCACCAAATGTATAATGCCATGTTTTGCATAAAAGTCTGACTCCTCTAAAGCGGTGTTTGTATGAATGGAAAGGGCTGGTGTGTTGGTGTTTGTATGTGTATCTCCAAGAATGTACAATCTCTTGTCTGCTCGAATTGAACCAATTCTTTGTTGAGAGACAAGATCCCGCGTATAAAACAAAAGTAGGATTGAAATAAAAGTGAGTTTGATGAACTATATTGGTTAACTGACTTATGGAGATGAGATTGTATGCAAAAGTAGCAACCAACAAGACATTAGTTAGCTAGTAAAATTCCACATGACAGCTTAACAATGCATATATGAGTAGCGGTGTCTGTTTTCCATTTGGCAGAGTGACAAACACTATTCCATGAATAATTTTACTTCTTAAGAAAATAGACATGTTAATCCTATATTACATGGACATAAGATCATCATGTGATTGCTAGTTGGCTTAGTAAAAATAAATAAATAAATAATAGTATAATAATGGAGAAATAAATACACAAACAAATGCTACGAGAATCAGGCAAGGGTTTGCCGTTACGTTATAAATCTCATTTTACTTCTTTTTTTAACTTACCGTAATGCGTTTTTACTCCCACCTATAAGGTAATGCACACGCGACATAAGTTAGACCTTTCGTCACCACTTTGTGGAAAATCATGCTACTCCTAGCACTGGCAGCCACCACGACAGACCCTCTGGTGAATGAGAACAGTCCGGCACCAGTTGAGCTATCATCCATGTTACAAGCATTGTCGTCGAGATCAGCAACGACCCCATTTAACTACTTGTAATACAGTTCATGGAAAGAAATGTAACACTATATTTCTTTATGGCAAATATGAAGTCATTATGAAGATTTGTCAAATTTTCAAAACCGGATCGGATCTTTGATCGAAAAACTTGGTCATTGATGGTTTGACGGTTAACTATTATAGAGCGTCATTGTTTAACTGTTGATAGAACCATTAATACGATACAATATAGAGTACAGATAAATTTACGAGTGAATTTATCACTAAACATAAAAAAAAAAAATCAAATCTATATCATCTATCACGAAAAAGTCCTAAGAAAGCATTCAATCTATCTTATAAAAGAAATCATAATTTTTTTTATTAACTTCAAGTTAGTAATAAGAGTGGCAATCTATAGTGAATCAGATAAATACGACAAGGAGGATCGAAAATTAAAAAATAAAGAAGCATAAACAAAATGAGTGATTAAGGACAGTTGGATGGCCTCTTAGACAGTTGGGTTCAGGGTGGAACCCAACTGTCCTTTTTTCGTATTATAAATATATAATAAATATAATTAAATTTATAATATCTGAATAATTTATTTTCATATATAAAAATAACGACTAATACAACCGGTATATTCTTAAACAACCATGATGAATTTTCATATTCTTAAAGAAACATAAAATATACTCTTAAGTAAGTCCTTTTCAATGGATCCCACTACACAATCATTAGCAAACTGGTTGTGAATTCGATTTCAGAGTTCGTTCTTGTTATAGCTCAAAGCTGAAAATATTTTATCTACACTTGCCGTCAAAACTAGTGGAATCTACGCTACCACTGGACTGCTTCAAGATTGTTGGGAAAATAATCGAATAGACATATGAAGAAAAGAGATATATTCCAATTGATATTTGGTTTATAGTATAATAAATTAATTTAATGTCAATTTATGATCAAGTAATGAATTGTGATATAGTGACAAAATACGTTGTACTAGGTGTCGTGTTCCATCCTTAACAAGCATAAACATATATAGAGTATTTTTGTTCCTCCCAAAATTTACCCCTGTCCCGTGACAAGGCCCAACTGTGCTGGCCCCGCCTATGTCCTAATAACTCGAGAATTGTTGGGAGAGGTTCAATTGTGGATCATATATCATTCACTAACACACCGCCTCAAACGAAAAAGCCAGTCACCTCACAGGGCTTTCGTCTGCACATGTACCGAATACACGATACCATGTGCTTCACAAACGGGGGGTCACCGGGATTCGAACACAAGACCACATTCCCGTCACGTAAGGCTCTGATACCATGTCATAAACCAATTGGCCGGTTCCAATAACTCGAGTTATTGTGAGAGGTTCAATCGTGAATCATATACCAGTGATATCAGTTGGGGAAAAAAACTTCCAAACGTTAGGTTTTTCTTTTTTTTGTAAGAGTTTGATTGTAATTCCCGCCTGCCCCCTCAAACAACCGACAGTTATTGAAACTCATCTCTCCTATTCCCTTCAAAATGAATCAACCGCTCCATGCAACCGCAAATCCCTACGTGTCCATCTCCCAACCATCGCATCGCATCACGAAACGGTGCCTCATCGTCCTATAAAACCCAACGTCGTTACTCCTTCCCACCCCGCGCCACACATTATTACATCAACGTATACCATCGTCACAACATCACTCACATCATCCTCACAACATGGTGGCGGCGGCGGCATCAGGCAGCAACGGCAACGGCGCGACCAAGAACTTCCACCTCAAAGTGGTGGCCATCGTGACCACCGCCACCGGCCCCAAGGGCGGCGCCCCCGTCACCCGCGAGGCCGAGCGCGTGTTCACCCTCCCGTTCGAGCCGATGCTGAACGAGGACAGTGCGATGCCGCACGTGCGCAAGATGGTGGAGTCCTTCCTCCCCATGAAGATCCCCGACCCGGAGGACAAAGTCGCCATCGTGGACAAGATCGTCGACGTCGCCCTCCGTCTCTTCGTCGCCCTCGTGTTAAAGCAAGGATCGAAATGCTGCTTCATGAAGAAAGTGCAGGACTGGTGAATCCGAATCCTGTCTGGAAAAGGAAAAGAGCTAGAGCAAAACTGCGTCGTTTGAAGTTCTGTCTATTTAATCACTTGTTGCTTAGACTGTGTCGTTTGGTTTCTTTCTGTTTAGTCCCTATTGTCTGTTTCGTGTCTGTGAGAGTCATTCTGGCTAACTAGCCGTTGCAGAGGCCAACGTTAAGCAGAGTAGGTTTGTTAGGAGCTAATCTCCTGGGATTCAGTGGTTAGTGTTGAGCCGAGTCTTGAGGCTTTCAGTTAAGAGTCTTGTGTATAAAGTTTGCCTCATCTCAATGAATAAAGGTTGTCAGTTTGCCTTCAATTTGCTTCTACAAAGTGGTATCAGAGCAATCGCAGGCTGTAACCAAGTGAGAGTTAGGCGTGAGAAATCGATATTTGATCTGGGTTAAAGGGAAACACGAGAGATTGGTGAGGTTGTCTTTGCGTTTTTCTGGTGAGAGATCTGCAAGGAAAAGAGTATGAGTGATCAAAGCTTTGCCCAAGTGGGCATTCCCAAATTCGACGGTGACTATGATCATTGGAGTTTGGTGATGGAGAATCTTCTCCGATCGAAGGAACTCTGGAGTGTGGTGCATCCAGGTTTCACTGAGCCTGCTGATGAGGAAGAGCAATCTGCTGCTCAATCCAAGGCACTGGAAGCAAATAGGCTCAAAGATCTGAACGCCAAAAACTACCTGTTCTGTTCCATCGACAAGAGCATTCTTAAAACGATCACTCAAAAGGGCACTGCAAAACAACTTTGGGATGCTATGAAGATTCGTTACCAGGGTAACGAGAGGGTTCAGAAGTCCAATCTTCAGGGCCTCCGCAGGGATTTCGAGCTGCTACAGATGAAGGAAGGAGAGGGGGTAGCAGACTACTTTGGCAGAGTTATGGTAATTGCCAATTCGATGAGGAATTGTGGAGAGGATATGACTGATACAAAGATCGTAGAAAAGGTACTGCGAACTCTTACTGAGAAGTTCAATTATATCGTGTGTTCAATTGAAGAATCCAAGGATATTGGAGAATTATCAGTGGATGCTTTGCAAAGTTCGCTGCTAGTGCACGAACAGAAGTTCACCAGGCATTCACATGGAGAGGAGCAGGCTCTTCAAGTGTTTGGAGGAGGACGAGGCAGAGGATTTGGTAGAAATGGATACCAGAGTGGTGGAAGAGGTAGAGGGCGAGGAAGAACTTGGACCCGTGAAATGGTAGAGTGCTTTAAATGCCACAAGCTGGGACATTACATTCGTGAATGTCCTGAGTGGAACACAACAGCTCACTACACTGAGTCTTCTGATCAAGTATTCAAGGATGATGTACTGCTCATGGCATACACCAATGATCAAAAGACTGAGCAGAGAAAGCCAGAAACATGGTGGTTCTTGGACTCAGGGTGCAGTAATCATATGACTGGAGATAAGTCATGGTTCATCAAGCTTAATTGCAACTTTAGAGGGGAGGTCAAACTTGGCAATGGCAGCAGGCTAGATGTGGAAGGAAAAGGAACTATCAAGATGCTGGTTGGTCAAGTTCCACTGATAATACAGAATGTGTATTATGTGCCAAGTCTCAGAACCAGCCTTCTCAGCATAGGGCAGTTACAGGAGAAGAATTTGGAATTCTCCATAAAGAAGGACACTTGCAAGATATTTCGAGAACAAGGCACACTTCTTTTACAAACAACCATGAAGGCCAACAGAATGTTTGTCCTCCAGGCTGATCATCCAAGAGAAAACATGGTGAGGGACTTCCAGTGTCTGCAGGTTGGTGCCAACAAAACAGCTCCATTACAATTATGGCACAGGAGGTTTGGACATCTTAATACTCGAGGATTACTGAGGCTGCAGAAGCAAGAACTAGTTCTTGGCCTGCCAAGACTAACTGGAGAGCTGGGAGTATGTGAAGCATGTATGCTGGGCAAGCAACACAGGACCACATTTCCAAAGAAAAGCACCTGGAGAGCAAGCCAGCCCCTCCAACTTCTACATGCTGATCTCTGTGGCCCCATCACCCCAATGTCAAATGGTGGAAAGAGGTATATTCTAACCATCATTGATGATTACAGCAGAAAGCTTTGGGTGTTCTTCCTAGCTGCTAAGTCTGAGGCACTCAGTTGGTTTACTAAGTTCAAAGCACAACTGGAAAATGAAACTGGAAAATCAATAGTTTGTCTTAGAACTGACAGGGGAGGAGAATTCATGTTGAATGAGTTTAAACAGCTGTGTGAAGAAGCAGGAATTGCCAGGCAACTTACAGCAGCCTTGACACCCCAGCAGAATGGGGTTGCTGAGAGGAAGAATCGAGCCATCATGAACATGGTTCGTTGCTCCCTGAAGGACACCAGAGTGCCCTCAAATTTCTGGCCAGAAGCTGTTGAATGGACTGCACATGTCCTAAACAGGAGCCCCACCACAGCCAACAAAGGAAAGACACCACAGGAAATATGGACTGGCAAGGCTCCAACAGTTGATCATTTCAGGGTGTTTGGGTGTGTAGCATATGCACACGTCCATGACTTGCAGAGGAAGAAACTTGATGACAAGAGTGTGAAGTGCCATTTTATTGGGATTTCCAGAGAGTCAAAGGCTTACAAACTCTACAATCCTATCACCAAGAAGGTGGTAATCAGTAGAGATGTAGTCTTTGATGAAGAAAAAGGGTGGAGCTGGAAGTCTGATATACAACCTGTTCTTACTCAGATCTTCTGGGAAGGAAGTGAAGACCCCTGGTATGATTCTGATGAAGAGGAAGAACCCACTGAAGTCACCAATCAAGGTGCAGAGAATGAACACCTCACCTCAGACCATGAAGAGGAGGAACAGCCCACTCCAACAGCTACTCCAACACCACCCACTGACACTCCAGTTTCACCTCAAAGCTCAGATTCTTCGTCTGAAGAACCTACAGATGACTATGACAACCCTCCTGAAGAGACACTAGGGAAAAGGAAGAGGGTGTTTCCCAGTCATTTAAAGGATTATGATTGCACTGGATATTTTGCAGATACTGACTGCTGGATCAACATAGCAATTGCCACTGATCCCCTGACCTTTGAAGATGCAGTGGTGGAAGAAAAATGGAGAGTGGCAATGCAGAAAGAAATTGAAGCAATCATAAGAAACTGTACCTGGGAACTAGTGGCCAAACCTGCAGGAGTTACTCCAATAGGAGTCAAGTGGATCTTCAAGACCAAACTCAAAGAAGATGGGACAGTGGACAAATTCAAAGCAAGGCTGGTAGTCAAGGGTTATGCACAGAGGTATGGAGTGGATTATACTGAAGTCTTTGCTCCAGTAGCTAGATGGGATACCATTAGAACCTTTCTAGCATTAGCTGCATCTCAAGGCCTAACAGTTTTTCAGCTTGATGTTAAAAGTGCTTTTTTGCATGGTGAATTGACTGAAGATGTTTATATTGAGCAACCTAAAGGCTTTGAGGTTGCTGGGGAGGAAAGCAAGGTTTATAAACTAAAAAAGGCACTGTATGGCCTGAAGCAGGCTCCAAGAGCCTGGTATGCGAGAATTGAGTCCCATTTTCTGCAAACAGGCTTTGAAAGATGTGAATATGAGCCTACTCTATTCATTAAGAGATCTGGAAGGGATTTCTTGCTTGTAAGTCTCTATGTTGATGACTTAATGTATGCTGGAAATAGCTCAACCATGCTTGCAGATTTCAAGGCATCCATGGAGGCAGAATTTGAGATGACAGATCTTGGGAGGATGAAGTATTTTTTGGGTGTGGAAGTCACTCAATCTGAGTCAGGCATCTTTATCAACCAGAAGAAATACATTAAGGAGCTACTCGAGAAGTTTAAGCTAAGTGAATGCAACTTTGTGCACAATCCAATGGTTGCAGGTACCAAGCTGTCAAAAGGAGGAGATGGAATTGCAGTAGATGCCTCAGAATACAGGCAACTCATTGGAAGCCTGCTTTATGCCACGGCTACAAGGCCTGACATAATGTATTCTGTATGCTTGCTCAGCAGGTACATGGAAGCTCCTACAAGACAGCATCTGTTGGCTGTAAAAAGAATCCTGAGGTATCTAAAAGGTACCATAGCTCATGGAATCTGGTACAAAAGAATGGAGGAAGAAGACTATCTGGTTGGCTACACAGATAGCGACTATGCAGGGGATATGGATGATCGAAAAAGCACAAGTGGCTATGTGTTCTTTCTTGCAGGTGGAGCTATCTCATGGGGCTCCAAGAAACAGCCAGTAGTGACACTCTCCACCACTGAGGCTGAATTCGTGGCTGCCAGCTACTGTGCTACACAGTGTGTTTGGCTTCAAAGGTTGCTGGCGCAGATGGGTTGGAAGGGAGGAGTAAAGAAGAGCACCAGCATACTGTGTGATAACAGCTCTGCTATCAAATTGTCCAAGAATCCAGTACTCCATGGGAGAAGCAAGCATATAGACGTCAGATTTCATTTTCTAAGGGAGCTGGTCAGAGATGGAATCATTGAATTACAGCATTGTGGAACTGCAGAACAGATAGCTGATATCATGACCAAACCATTGAAGCTCGATGCATTTCAACTTCTCAGGAGTAGGCTGGGCATAATTGATGAAGCAGACTTGGAGCAGTGAAGAACAGTATTGTGAACTGAAGCAGCGTTGAGGAGGGCTTCAGTTCAGGGGAGGATGTTAAAGCAAGGATCGAAATGCTGCTTCATGAAGAAAGTGCAGGACTGGTGAATCCGAATCCTGTCTGGAAAAGGAAAAGAGCTAGAGCAAAACTGCGTCGTTTGAAGTTCTGTCTATTTAATCACTTGTTGCTTAGACTGTGTCGTTTGGTTTCTTTCTGTTTAGTCCCTATTGTCTGTTTCGTGTCTGTGAGAGTCATTCTGGCTAACTAGCCGTTGCAGAGGCCAACGTTAAGCAGAGTAGGTTTGTTAGGAGCTAATCTCCTGGGATTCAGTGGTTAGTGTTGAGCCGAGTCTTGAGGCTTTCAGTTAAGAGTCTTGTGTATAAAGTTTGCCTCATCTCAATGAATAAAGGTTGTCAGTTTGCCTTCAATTTGCTTCTACACCTCGAACGTGAAGAAACTGACAAGAACAAGACTGCTTCTGCGGCTGAGGCTGGTTCGGGGATTGCTGGCTTTGATGCGGAGAGGAAGTGGTTTTACTCCAAGGACGGCCTGCCGCAGACCAAGGTGACGATCTACGTCGCCCATGATGGTTTCGTCTCCGCTGTCGGCGACTTCGAGTCGGAGGACGACGAGGATGATACTGATTCTGATGAGGAGGATGGTGATGGTGAGGAGGAGGAAGAAGGTGGTGTTGAGGCCATGGAGAAGAAGTAGGATGAATCCAGTGGCTGTTGCCCTAGCGATGGCTACGTGCATGCATGATGCATGGTGGTGTGCTATGCTATTATTATTATCATTATTATAATAATTCAGTGTTTCGAGAACTGAAATTTCGTGTTCGGGTCGTCGTTTGTTATGTGAAACGACTAAGAGTAATGTTGTTGTTTTTGTTGTCAGTGGTTGGTCACTGTTTATGTGTAATGAGAACCGTTATGTGGTCTCGCTTTTGATAATAAGATGGTCAAACAATTATATTATATATGCTTGATATGGGTATTATTATATATGGTGGAATATTTTCATGCGTTTCCAAGTTTTTTATGTTGAAAAAACTCGTTGTTAGTGAAATACTGTTTGTTGTCGTCAATGCGTGAAATATTTACTTGTAGTTAATGTTGAATTTGGTAAGTATGAAGATTGTCTCTTTCTTATGGATCGCTCCTCTCAGCCGAATCAAAGTAACCAGCTAGCAGATTTGGGAGTTTCCTTCTCTGCATTCTAACGGCTAGTTCTCACAGTATAAGTATCTCTTGTTGGCCGCTCATGGAAGGTACTTTTGTGAAAAGCTTACTTGCGGTAGAGGGCTTGAGCTTGGAATTACAAAAGGAGTTGACATACACAGGGGTAGAGGATCTGAGTGTGTCAAGGCTGATCAGAACAAGATTGATCTGGGTTGTTTGCTTGCTTTATCATTCTGCATTTTCATTGTGTGTTTTTGTTCTTGCTTTGATTTATCAAAAACCTCAAACTAATAAAGGTCTCCCAGACCATATTCTGGGACGTGGAAGTAAACCATTGCACTTGGGCGAACCACGTTAAAAATATCGTGTGTCATTCCTTTCCTTGCTTCTCCTTCGTGTTTAATATTCACTGAGTTCATGTCCCTGGTTCTTACTCTGTTTCTCTTTGCTGTGTTGCTGTACTCTGTTCGTTGCAAGGAACGAATTCCCTCTGCAATTCTGATATAACTGAGACTGGGCTTATAATCGAGACTGGGCCTTAGGCTTGCTTATTAGTCTTGACTGAAATAAGATCGAACGTGGGCCTGTTCTACTAGGCCCAGATATATAGCAGAAATCAAACAGTGTCCGAGACACTCTTCCACTTCCCAGTCATTTTCGTTCTCATCCGCTCTGATTCTTTCGCTTGAACCCTAATTTTTCTCTTCCTCGATAACCTTCTCAGTTAAGTTTGTTTCCATGTTATGGCTATTTCAACTTCCAATGGCACTTACAAGTTTTCGACGAAACATGTTAATATGATGTCTAGTTTCTATCATTAGACTCAACGAGGTCTAACTGCTTGATACCAGGGAAAACTGCCTTCTTTGCTTTGGGAGAAAAATTGATTTTGTCAGGATCCAGGTTGCTAGAATATGCTTGGCATCCAAGTACTCTCAAACTGGTATAGTGAGGAGGTACTTCAAACAATTTCTCAAAATGAGTTTTGTTGTCAAGAATAGGAGTTGGTGTCTTATTTCTCAAAATATGCAACATGCAATACAAAGTAGCTCCAGAAGCTTATAGACAATCCACTCTGAAATTTAAGAGGACTTAGCACCATTAACGAGTTTTGATGTTTTCTCTCCACTATTTCATTCTGTTGAGCTATCCAAATACAACTCACCTAATGTATAATGCCATGTTTTGCATAAAAGTCCGACTCCTCTAAAGCGGTGTTTGTATGAATGGAAAGGGCTGGTGTGTTGGTGTTTGTATGTGTATCTTCAAGAATGTACAGTATGCTCGAATTGAACCAATCCTTCATTGAGAGACAAGGTCCCGCGTATAAAACAAAAGTAGGATTGAAATAAAAGTGAGTTTGGTGAACTATTGGTTAACTGACTTATGGAGATGAGATTGTATGCAAAAGTGGCAACCAACAAGACATTAGTTAACTAGTCAAATTCCACATGACAGCTTAACAATGCATACTAGCCATGCCCCGCTCACTTCGCTTCGCGAATAAGTGGAATACATATTTTGATGCATCTATTTGGTAAGGAAGGAAGGTAGAATCTGAAATTAAGTAATTTGAGGAAGAATAGATAGTTTTCTTCAACAGATACATCATACATTAAATGAAAGTCTGAACAGCTGATACTTTTTTGAGTAGAAACTGAATAGTTGATAGTTAGTAGTCTATTCTTAATAGTAACAAAGTGGATCCCATAGCGTGATATATGAAGAGTCGGGAGTAAGTCATCTTTCCTCATGATTGGCTGGACCTCTGCTGTAAATTTTTTGTCTCGTACAGATGCTATGCGAGTAAGTCTTGTCTCATTTGTCATATTGGAAAATTCTTTAGGAGAACATTTCAATAGTGCAGTTGCTGCATTGTGCTCAAAGAGAAAACTGGATTTTGTGAACCAGTCCTCGCACAAAATTTGTAAAAATCGAGTTAAACTCGCTTTAACCGGGCCGAATACTAAATGATTTGAAGATTGATTCAAGCTTAATGGTATAATTTAATTGCTTGGAAACTTAATTGTATAAAGACTTCTCAAAGCTTTGGTTAGTAGGAGGACTAAACAATCAACTTTTGCCTCCCATTGATTTGACACTAAAAATATAAGAGTCTAGTAATTAGTAGACACTAAAAATATAGGAGTCTAGTAATTAGTAGGAGGACTAAATAATCAACTTTTGCCTCCCATTGATTTGACAGTAATGAACAGTAAAACCCTTACTTGTTCTTTTAAAGAACTAACCAAAATTTGTAAAAATCGAGTTAAACTCGCTTTAACCGGGTTCAATTAGGCTTCAATTGTCATAAATTGATTGATTTACAACCTTAATGGCATAAAAACTCCAACGTTAGAGCGGATAAAACTCATTGTTGCAAAAAATTCGTCAATACTAGTTGAACATTGATTCAAGCGTGTAAAAACTCCAAAGGGTTGAATTCGGTCAAATACCAATTGATTTGAGTTCAATTAGGGTTCAATACTTCAATTGACATAAGTGAATTCATTAGAACCTTAATGTCATAAAAGCTCCAAGCTTTGAGCGTATAAAATTCGTCAATACCAGTTGAACATTGATTCAAGCGTGTAAGAACTCCAAAGGGTCGAATTAGGTCGATTTAAGCGTGTAAACTCATTGTCGACCCAAAATTTGTAAAAATCGAGTTAAACTCGCTTTAACCGGGCCGAATACCAATTGATTTGAACATTGATTCAAGCAAGTAAGAACTCCAAAGGGTCGAATTAGGTCAATTTAAGCGTGTAAGCGTGTAAACTTGTTGTCGACCCAACATTTGTAAAAATTGAGTTAAACTCGCTTTAACCGGGCCGAATACCAATTGATTTGAACATTGATTCAAGCTTAATGTTATAATTTAATTGCTTGGAAACTTAATGGTATAAAGACTCCTCAAAGCTTTGGTTAGTAGGAGTCTAGTAATTAGTAGGAGAACTAAATAATCAACTTTTGCCTCCCATTGATTTGACACTAAAAATATAGGAGTAGTAATTAGTAGACACTAAAAATATAGGAGTCTAGTAATTAGGAGGACTAAACAATCGACTTTTGCCTCTAATTGATTTGACACTAATGAACATTAAAACCCACCCTTGTTCTTTTAAAGAACTAACTAATATGAGTAGCGGTGATCTGTTTTCCATTTGGCAGTGTGACAAGCATTATTCCATGAATAATTTTACATCTTAAGAAAATAGACATGTTAATCCTACATTACATGGACATAAGATCTTCATGTGATTGCTAGTTGGCTTAGTAAAAATAAATAATTAATTAATAGTATAATAATGGAGAGATAAATGCACAAATAAATGCTACGAGAATCAGGTAAGGGTTTACCGTTACGTAAATCTCATTTTACTTCTTTTTACTACTTGTAGTACGGTTCATGGAAAGAAATGTAACACTATATTTCTTTATGACAAATATGAAGTCATTATATATGAAGATTTGTCAATTTTTCAGAACCGGATCGGATCTTTAATCGAAAAACTTGGTCATTGATGGTTTTTAACGGTTAACTATTATAGAGCGTCATTGTTTAACTGTTGAAAGAACCCCATTAATGCGATATAATATAGAGTACATATAAATTTACGAGTGAATTTATCACTAACCATAAAAAAAATTCAAATCTACTATCACCGAAAAGTTCTAAGAAAGCATTCAAACTATCTCTCAAAACAACTCATAATTTCTTTTTTTATTTATTAACTTCAAGTTAGTAATAAGAGTGGTTAAACTCATCTCTCTATTCCCTTCAAAATGAATCAACCGCTCCATGCAACCGCAAATCCCTACGTGTCCATCTCCCAACCACCGCATCGCATCACGAAACGGTGCCTCATCGTCCTATAAAACCCACCGTCGTTCCTCCTTCCCACCCCGCGCCACACATTATTACATCAACCTATACCATCGTCACAACATCACTCACAACATCCTCACATCATGGCGGCGGCGGCGGCATCAGGCAGCAACGGCAACGGCGCGACCAAGAACTTCCACCTCAAAGTGGTGGCCATCGTGACCACCGCCACCGGCCCCAACGGCGCCCCCGTCACCCGCGAAGCCGAGCGCGTGTTCACCCTCCCGTTCGAGCCGATGCTGAACGAGGACAGCGCGATGCCGCACGTGCGCAAGATGGTCGAGTCCTTCGCCCCCATGAAGATCCCGGACCCCGAGGACAAAGTCGCCATCGTGGACAAGATCGCCGACGTCGCCCTCCGTCTCTTCGTCGCCCTCGAACGTGAAGAAACTGACAACAACAACAAGACTGCTGAGGCTGGTTCGGGGATTGCTGGCTTTGATGCGGAGAGGAAGTGGTTTTACTCCAAGGACGGACTGCCGCAGACCAAGGTGACGATCTACGTCGCCCATGATGGTTTCGTCTCCGCTGTCGGCGACTTCGAGTCGGAGGACGACGAGGATGATACTGATTCCGATGAGGAGGATGATGATGGTGAAGAGGAGGAAGAAGGTGGTGTTGAGGCCATGGAGAAGAAGTAGAAGATCCAGTGGTGTTTTTTTTGTGGCTGTTGCCCTAGCAATGGCTACGTGCATGCATGCATGGTGGTGTGCCATGACATTATTATTATTATTATTTCCTATTGCTAAAACTATGTCGGTTTGTGTTCGTTATTCAATAATCCAGTGTTTGTGAACTGGAATTTATGTGAACAATTATTAGTAACGTTGTTGTTGGGTCACTGTTTATGTTTGAGGAGAATAGTTAATGTCTCCCTTTTTATAATAAACAATTATATTCTATCTTGTGATGATATTTGCTTGATATGAGTATTTTTTTTTTTTGTTATGGAATACTTTCATTTCCAATCTTTTTTATATTGTCAATGTGAACAAATATATATAAGACTTGTGAATTGTGATTGTGTCATCGTCACCGGTGGAAAGGGTGTTTTTGAAATGAATAGAAAGTACGAGGGGCAATTGGAAGGAGAAAAAGAGAGCAAGTTTTTGTTGGGTTGGGCCAGAGTACGTGGCCGACTACTGGGCCAGATTCGAAGCCCACTACCGGGCTCGAATCCTCTATGTACCAATGGAAGGATGTCTGTGAAACAAATAGAAAGTACGAGGCGCAATTGGTTAAGGTTTCGGAAACGAAGGCCAAATCTGTAATTCTAATCATTTAAAATGAACGAGCAAAGCGAACTGAATTAAGGAAGGACGGCGGGAGACGAGAAGAGAATACGAAAAGGCCAGAACCCTAGAGAGGTTTTAGCAGCCGCCGGAAGCTTTCGAAGCCGGAGGGGGGGCGAATAAATCCGCCGTCCGTTACCTCCGCCGCGTAATCATGCCGAAGTCCAAGCGCAACCGTGCAGGTCTGTATCCTCGTCCCATCTGCGAGAAATTTTTTTTGAATTGGTGGATTTTTTGCGTTTTCTGTTTTCTCATTTTTTGGGGGGGAAAAAATTGTAGTTACACTGTCGAAGACGAAGAAGAAGGGGAGAGAACACAAAGAAGGGGTTGTGAATGGAATAAGGGAAGCAGTGGAGAAGTACCCTTCTATCTACTTGTTTGGTTATGAGAACATGAGGAATCTCAAGTTCAAGGAATTCAGAGACCAGCTCAAGTCTAGCAGCAGGTAAAAAAAAAAAACTCTGTTGCTAGTTGGTTGTTGTTGTGCTCTGTTTGTGACTGGAAATCAAAGCCTTATGGTGATTGGGGATGAAAAAAAAATCATGGAACTTGTAATCTGAATGTCACAGAAAAGTTCAGTTCTTTACTGTATTTATCATGGATTGGAGCTAGCTTTGTCTTTGCGCTAGCCGGATAATTTTGGACATGGTTTCACTTACCGGATGCTTTCGTGGTGTTTATTTGAACAGATTCTTCCTTGGGTCGAACAAAGTGATGCAGGTTGCTCTTGGTCGATCTGCTGGTGATGAGTTGAGACCGGGGATCCGTAAAGTATCTAAGGTGTGCTTTTACTCTTGATTCACCGGACTACATGTTTTGTGCTTTTATGGTTGAGATAAAAGCGGTAAAGGAGCTCCATTGCTCTATGCAGAAGTTTGTTTGTTGAGCAGTGTTCATCTTTCTGTTCACAGCTTCTGCGTGGGGATTCTGGTCTGATGGCTACCAATTTGCCCAAAGAAGAGGTTGAAAGGTATTGAACTCGCTTTATGATTGCTGGGCTGCTTGTTCACTTACAGCGTATACTTTAATAATGAGGTCTACCATGACAATATAAGACCCTGACGTTACTGGGAAGTCTAATGCTGCATTAGAGTGTACAAAGAATCCTATGTTGCATCTCGTAGTTTGAATGAACTTATAGGGATGCCTGTATGTAGCTTGCTCTAAGGATCTTTAGTTGGTGCATTTATGTCCAGTACTTAACATAGTTTGGTTTTGGCAGTTATATACCTTTGGCATGGGTACTTTAGTTGGTCATTACTTCCTCACTCAATCAACAAAAATTAGATATCCTTAGTTCTTACGGCTGCTGCTTTGTCTTGCAGGTTATGCCGTGAATATGAAGATTATGACTTTGCAAGGACCGGTACTAATGCCACTGAAAAGGTATGTGAGCATTTAGATTTAGTAGGCCATGTCCCTAGGCTAAACCATATTCTGATCGAGTGTTGTACTGGATTTATTTAGAATATGCTTATTGCCCCATTTGCTGACACAATGTTTCGTTGTTCAGGTAGAACTGAACGAAGGGCCTCTGGAGCAATTTACTCATGAAATGGAGCCTTTTCTGCGCAAACAAGGCCTTCCTGTCCGGTTAAACAAGGGTATGTAGCAATAGTCTTTTTAATTTCTCTGTAGGCTGTGAGTCTGTGTTAGTACTGTGAACTCCCTCCTGACACAATTCGTGTTGGCCTGTAGGTGTTGTGGAGCTTATTTCAGACTTTGTTGTCTGTGAAGAAGGAAAGCCTTTGTCACCTGAATCAGCCCGCATACTGGTTAGTTACAGTCCTTTTAGTTTGTCTCGCATATCTTTGTTGTTTGGTACTTGGTTATCCCCCCTTCAATTCGGACGGGCTTATTTCTTTCATTTCAAGTAACAGCACTTAAGTTCTCTCTTTCTATGATGTTGTCATCTGGTATAGGTTACAAAATAGAGGCCTATTATGAATGATGAAATGTTGTTTGCCTGTGTTCAAGATGCATAACTAATTGTTAGTTTATTTATTGGTTTTTTTCCGAATCAAGTAAAGTGGATTGAATGAACTTTATAATCTTCTATGCAGAGACTATTGGGCATCAAGATGGCGACCTTCAAGCTTCACCTAATCTGCAGATGGAGCTCCGACGATTTTGAGCTGTATAAAGAGGGACTTGATGACGCTTCCGACGTTGAATCTGCATGATTTTTGTTTTCTTGTAGGGTGGCTGAATGTTGTAACTTTGTCAAATCTCATGGGGCTGAACCAAGTGATTGTGCAATAGTAATTGCATCTAATGCTTCTTGTTTTAAACTAAAAAGTAATGCTTATTTCTAGCAGCACCTCCTCCAGATTTGCGTCTTAACAGCGTGTATTCAATGTCTAGCTTGAAGTTTTCCCATTTGTATGGAATGGAGAATCGAGTCTGGCAATCCAATGCTTACTATAAAATATGTGAAATTTAGGAATTTTTAATGTTTTTTTGTTATAGCGTAACAATGATATGACTCTTTGACCATCCAACATAACAGTCAACCTTCGAATTAGATCAAATTAGTCTCATCAGTATTAGTTTAGATCGGGATAGACATCTTTTGAAATATTGACCAAATTAATCGTTTAGTGAAGTTTTTAAAGTTTAATCCTTTAAACATCAATTTGATGGTAACCAAACCAAGCAAATTGTCTAATTCTTATAACCAAAACCAAACATGGCAAGTTGGCAACCCAGCACCATCAGCTTGACTGTGACCAAATCAAATCGGCATTTTTAGATACTCTATTGTTGATCTTTTCTGGTCGAGACAAGCCCACATTTATAGATACTTCTAATTTCACTCTAAGAAATCGTTTAAATTTCACAACTACCAACCTTAAACAACTTCTACAACTTCTTTAACCATGTTTCGATTCGGACAAAATGTGGTGTCAACACTTCTCATGCTTGAAGAACCTGGCAGTGAACAATGTGGCTCCTCAGGCGATTCCTCCCAGCAAGGCTCGACCAAAGATTCGAGACCAAAGTCTTGAACTGCCCTCTACCAGAAAGAGTCTCCCACAAATGTTCAGCGGGAGCTTCCCCAAGATCTTCGGATCTCGAAACGTCGACAACCGATATACTCATGTTGTTTCTAATGATGCACAGCTTCCCACTCAGTGGAACAAGAGCAGCTGCTTCCAAAGCACAAGAATTCCCCAGATGCAACTTGCTATCGATATGCTTGCTCCATGAATCGGTCTCTTCGTCATAAACCCTAAGCTTGCACCCATCCTTGCAGTCTAAGGCATAGAGGTTTCCATTCAAGGAAGCACTTGGGTTTCTCCACCCTGCCACCATGCCATCATAAACAGGATACCAGCTATCGGTTACCGGCTGGTAGACTTCACTCAAAACCTGTCTGTGAGTCCCGAGTCCTTTAAGGTACCATTTACCCTCGTAAACTACCCCAATGAAGGGCACCATTGCTGTACTCATATCTGAAATCAGTGACCATCTGTTCTTATTGGGATCATAAACTTCAGCTGATCTCAATGGACGGTGGACGCCCTCGTTCTCCCCACCTGCTACATACAAACAGTTGTTTATAACACACGAACCAAAGAAATGCCGTCTTCTAAGCATGTCGGGTGCACGGTGCCACTTATTAGTTCTAGCACTGTAAAAAATGACCCGTCTCATCGATCCTTTCAAAGGGTCTTTGCCGCCAAACAAGTAGAGGTTACAGCCACTTAGAACAGCTGAACCGAAACCTAGGGCTTCAGAATATTCCTTGGGGACAGGTGGAAGTGGCTGCCATAGTTGGTATATGGGATCGAAAGCATGCCAAGATATTTTCCCATCCCTGTCTCTCTTGATCACGTATATCCATTCCTCGGATATTCCAAGATTCTTTCGAAGCGAGTAGAAGAAGTTACCAGATAAGAGACGGTACCACCTCTTGCAGACGAGTCGAAGCTTTCGATGCTCAGCTCTAGGTACTCGGATTAAGCAAGCAATGGCGAGATCATCAGGGAGTCCCGGGAGCAATGGGGATTGATTTCGGTTTCTATCTCCTCGTGAGGGTTTATGTCTGGTTGGATGGATAGATGGTCTGATGTCTGGTTGAAGACATAGCTTGCTACCCGGGACGTACTTTTTGGCACCTGCCACGGTTTTGAGGCCTGCATCTACTCTACATAAGCAAGCTGTTGTGTCAACCTGTGGAAATGACATTGACACCAATATATGATTTTCATCAGTTAGGCTTTATAAGCAAGGGAAAAACTGCAGAGATTATCAGAATAAGAGAAGAAGAACATGCTGCATGATTTCAACAGATTGGTGAGTTAGTTCTCGGCAATTGATCAACACCACTAATTTCCCAAAAGGGTGTCATATAAAGTCCAAAAATTACTAAAGATACCATTTCCCATTAGCAAAATTTTCCTTTGAGATCTCAAACTGAAGATCAACCCTAAAATCCTATCACCAGAAAATGCTCAAAGGGAAGTCATTGCATACAGGATGAGCTAGAATCACATACTAAATACATTCCAAATGTAAGGGGGGAAACGAAAGGGGAACAGCCTAAGATTAGAATTTGCTCAAACCAGTGAGGATGCTGAAAAAACAAAAGGGCATAGAATCAGACTTACCAAAGGAGGTTGATTCATTCTGTCTGCATCTCTCATCCTCCAAGGATCCGCCATGGCCAGGTTTAACTAATATCACTGCAGAAGTTCACTCCTTCCAAAATCAGAAGGCCACAATCTAAATCATGATGCCCCTCTCTGCTGTTAAGAACACAAAATTCAGTGAAATCTAAAATGCATGAAAGCAAACTCTGAGCACTGCTCCACCAACTCTTGGAACTCGCTTTCAATCTACACCACACCAGCCCTTCCTTCTCTCTCACACCAAATCACAAAAAAAAGACCCCAAATTCACCTCCAACCAACTGTCAAAACTGAGAACCAGCTCCAAAAGTGACACTCTGAGGTGCTATCGAAGCAAACCCAGCTTCATTCCAACGTCAAAATCAAAACCCATCTCCGGAAATCAGAAATCCCCACAAGAGAATAAATCACTCTTTCCACCACATCCAATTCAGAGAATTGACCACTGAACGGAAACGAAGGGGAGAAGGAGAAGGGAGACAAAAGACTCCGACTTTATCTTCTAGCGAGACAACCCAAATGCGAGACAGCAAGAAGAATTAAGAGCAGAGGCAAGTCGAAGGGCAAGAGCATTTGAGAAAACAGGGAAACGGACGGAGACCCTTCTTTTCTCCCCCCTTTTCTTTTTCCACCATTAAAAACCACCCCCCTAAGTTTGTCAAAAGGAAGCGGTCCCGACCAGAAGGTCCGACCCAGATGCCATAGCGGTTCGAATTTCTAGAAAACGGAAGACTAAATTAATCGGACATTCGCAAGGTGACAAAAGACGGTGGCTTTGACCTCGCCGGCGGCGGGTGGCAGGAGGGAGCTCCGATGAACGGGAGGATTGAATTAGGAGTGGAAACTGAGAGGTGGAGTGTGAGTAATTATTAGGCGAGAGAGTTGAGACAAAGGAGGAGGAGATCGTGGAGGACGGTGGACATAGTAAATGGAGGGAATCGGTTGGGGTTTTTTCTTTCTTTCTTCTTTTTTCGTTGTGAATTATGATAAGAGACCATTATCTCCCCATTTTGTGTATTTAATACTTCGAATTTTATTTTGTAAGTATGGTGAATAATAATAGCTTGGGCCCTATTGTGATTAATGTGTAACACCATGTGGAAACCTAACGCCTAACCAATTTTTGTGTACTATACTTGTTTGAGTTGGCCTATATAAAGAAATGAGTTAAATCTTAGGATGGACTACTTTGCAATAGAAAAAACGAAAACAATCAGAATATGATAAGCGGTAGTTACTTATGAAAATTTGAATTATGGAGGAGAAATTTTCAACATAAAAGAGGTGATATCGTAAAATTGCATAGCTATCTAGGTGGAAGAGTCCAATGACAGTGCTCATTTTCGTGATTCAGTCAGGTTATTAGATAAGATGATGAGATAAGCATACATGAATCGAATCAGTAGACAGTTGAACGAGTTTGACAATCAACCCGATCAAGCAATAACATTGATGCGACCAAAAAGTTGGAGGATGATTGCATCGAAGAAGAAGAAAAGGTCATCATGTTTTTGACATTTTCATATGTTTTCGCAACACGAAAATGATGAGGCAGACCTGTGAAGATACCCTTTGAAATGTTGAGCGGAGGTGAATGAATCTTCTCAACAAGCTCCATACAAATCAAACATACAAGACTAACATGTTGTAGAAGACGTACAACTTTGTTATCAATACAAACTTAATTCGATACAACCGATCGATACGACATTCTATTCATTTCAAATCTCACTACCAATCCATCAAACCAAAGGGAGGGATTGTGAAATGGCAACAAGAAGCAGAGAAAGGACAGCCATAGCAAACCTAAACCATCAAGTTTTTCACTTTTTGTATGGGAAGAAAAAAAGGTCGAAAAAAGTACCATTAACAAATCCACCATAACAATAAGACGTGAGAGCTTTGGCAGATAGCTATTTGTTTTCTTCTCACAAAAAACCACCCTTCCGGCCTTTTACTTTACCTCCACCTGCAGCAGAGTACTCTGTTTTTTCCTTTCGTAGGACAAAAAGTAGCGAGAGCCAGAGACAGAGTCAACTTCTTCACTCCATTAATTTACTGTCCTCTCCTCTACTGGTTCTCTGTTGTGTGCCATGGATGCTCCTCCGGCCACTACTTGATGATCTGGCGGTGGCCGGTGGGACCCAACCACCGTCTGACGTGTTGCGGCGGGTGGCTTGATGAAGAAAGAATGAGACCTTTCTGCTTCCTGCCTGCCTCGGACGGCATTTTGTGGAGTGAGTGAGTTGGATGATTGATACCTTAGCTAGCAAAGCTCCTTTGTCTCTATACTACTCTTATCAATACCTAATCTTTTGTCACTAATCGTCTTTGTTTTCTTTCCTCGTGATAGATAATATCTATACTACTCTTACGTTAAGGAAGAAGGTTGGTGTCGAAGAGATAGAACGGGAACAAGTGAGATTCATAATGTTTCAGTCACGCGATCTATCGTGTATATTATGTATCACGAGGAAAGAGTAAGTCAGTATTAGTCGAATCCGTGTGAGACTTACTAGATTGTTGTTAATAAGTTCGTCTTAAAATATTTGAAAAGATTGAGGATTGCATTTCTTTTATTTTCAAAGGGAAAGATGGTGTTGTTGTAAAGGATTACGCCGATTTTAGTTTTCAAATGATATATAAAAAAAACGACATATTTAGGAGATTGGAGCATTTCTATGTCATTGATTGTCATGTCAATGCTACTTCTAGAATTAATCATTCGTTGGTCTTTCATGTCCCATGTTTAAGATTAGTTTTATGGAACAATCCATAGTAATTAATCTGTTTTTTAAATCCATCTTCTCCTATTTGATTTACTTTTGTAGTGTTTTTTTTTTAATTAGATATATAAGTACTTATTCCTTTTGTACTTATTAGGGTCGATAAAAACAAAGTTTAAAAGTTAATTAACTATTGATGTTTGTAGTCCCCCATTAGTCACAACTCACAATACACAGTCTGACACTTCTTCTTTTTTTTTTTTTTTGCAGATATTTGGATTTTACTTGTAAAACAAAAGGTACAATAATATTAGAAAAAAGAGAGGTACTAATATTGTATATTCTTACAAAGCACCAATCAAAGTAGGTATTGAAAAAATGGAGAAATAAATGTTTCTAGTTTGGAGATGCTGACATTTTGTAGGAAACAAGATTTCCTACGGGTTGGGAATTGGGGAATTTAGCTAGATCAATTAGGGATTGATCTAACTAGGGATTAGAATTGGGGATTTTGAGAACAAGAAGAAGGAAAAGGGGTGCTGCAGCCGCAGCTTTGGAGAAGGAAAGGGGAGGGAGGATACGCAGGAGAGAGAGAGGGAAGAGAGAATTAGGCTTTAGGTTTTTGGTTCTGTTATTGCTTAATCCCAAAATAAGACCCTATTACAGATTATATAACCTGTCTAATTCCTATCTGCTACCCGAATAATAAAACATAACAATTAACTCCCTGTTTATTCCCCCAAATACCCAAATAATCCCCCAATCCATAAAACCCGACACTAATACGAAATAACCGAAAACAGCTAATAATTATGTTTCCCACATCCCCTCTTCCTTCGAAAAACAACCTTGTCCCCAAGGTTGTTCCTCCAGCTCACTAGGCATCTTCCTCTCCATTTCCATCATCCTCAGCTTCTTCTTCTGCTTCATCTTCCCAGCGCCCAACCAGCATCATCAAATCCGGCTTCGGGCACTGATGACCAATGGTGAACCGGCCATCACAGTTGAAGCACTTGCCCTCCCGCCTCTTTTGCTCAATCTCTGCCGGCGTCAGTCGCACGAATCCCTTCGGTATGGCCCGCTGCCCCACCCTGGCCACCGGAGCTGGTCCTCCACCGCCCGCATTGGCCCCAGTCGAGCCCCCGGGTGCCCCACCTGTGCCGCCACTAGCACTGCTGCTTCCTCCTCCTCCACTTGGCTTTGAGAAGCGGCCAATGGTGCTTCTCCAGCTAGCTAGTTCTTCCTCCTTATGACCTGCAAGACGAAAAGCAGTTTTCACAGAATCGGGCTCAAACACCCTGACTGCCGCTGCTATCTCGGGTTTGAGACCCGCCATGCACAGCCCCACCAAGGTGTCCTCCGAGACTCCCTTGCACTGGTTCCCCAACTTGAAGAACTCCGCGCAGTACTCTGCCACCGTGCCGGTCTGCTTCAGCTTTGCCAACTGCTCAGGAGCCCACCCATCTGACTTCCCAAACTGATAACGGAGCTCCTCCTGAAACATGGGCCATCTGACTTCCCAAACTGATAACGGAGCTCCTCCGTGATCAAGGTTGCTGCTGCTGCATAGGATCGCTCCATCCACTCCCACCATTGGAGCGCATCGCCCTCCAGATAGAACGATGCCAGGTAGGCTTTCCTCTCCTCCGGGATTGGGTGATTCTTAAACCACCTCTCAACTGCATACAACCAAAGACCTGCATCCTCCTGCCCATTGAATTTTGGAAACTCAATGGTAGGAGGCTTAGCTCGAAAAACTATCCCATCCATTCCCTCATAGTTGGGATACTGGGACCCATACCTGTCATTTCCTGGCGTCCTCCATGGCTGCCCCCACTGAGAGCACTGCATCTGGTTAGGATTCCCATGTCCATAGTCACCCGGATAGCACCCCGGCTGATTCGGGTATTCCCCTGGGACATGAGGCGCCTCATAATGGCCCTCTCCTCCTCCTGGTACCCTGCTGTCCGCCCTCCGGTTCGGCTGGGCAGTTGGACTCGGTCGATGTCCGGTTCGACCTACCTCGGGTCGACCCATCCCGGTCCGTCGGGTCCGGTTCGGCTCAACTCGGTCCGATCAACGCTGGTCCGACCAATACCGGTTCGGTCCGGGCCCCTCCTGGCCCGTCCGCCTGACCCGGCCCAAAAGGAGCCGCCCCACCTGGGCCCACCTGGTCGGCGGCCCTGCTCGGCCCACCATCTCCCTTCTGGTTCATCTCCTGTTCAGCCCACCGGGCCTGCTGGCCCGCCAAGCTTAGTTGGTCATACTCGGGCCCATATTCCTGGTCCAGCCATCCCAGCCCGTTATGGACCCTCGTATACTGGCACATCTGTCCCGGCCCACCATTCATAGGAGGCCCATTTGCGTCATACCCAACCATCTTAGCCTTTCCCTTTCGGGCCGCAATTTCTTGGGCCGTGGGTGTCGGTAACAGACCCGCGCCCAGCCCTAGTGGAGTTCGATCAGCCCTGGCCGGCCCGGTGTTCGCCGCCCTGCTCCCCGCGGCCCCTTCACTCGGCGCGACCGCCTGAGCCGCCGCCGCCCTCGCCGACCCTGCCCCGCCGCCGGCTCCGCTACCGGCCCCGGCCGCCGCGGCCCTCGCCCCCGCCGGCGCCTCTAGCGCCGCTGCCGCGGTGCTCCCACCTCCAGCCGCCTCGTCCGCCACCCCCGAGCCGCCGCCCCCTTCGTTCATCAGCTCAGCCGGGTTCGGCGCTCTCTCTGGTTCGCCTCCCTTGGCCTGCAACGAGGTGATTGCCCTCATCAGGTCCTCCAGCCTTCGCCGCAGATCGTCAGCATCTTCCTTCGCATCAGCCTGCACTCTTGCCAGGCCTTCTTCGAGCCTGGCTAGCGCCTCAGAGTGCTCGTGCACCACCTCCTTCACCGCCTCCAACTCGGTAAGGTCTTCCATCACCACCTCATCGCGATCAATACCGCCCGTTCCGGTGCTCCTCTCGGCTGCCTGAGCCTTCTCCTCCGCCGCCTTCATCGATTTCGTTGTCACCATGTTGCTTTCCCTGGTTCAAGAGTTCAGATGAACTCACTCTCGAGCCAGGCTCTGATACCAGATGTAGGAAACAAGATTTCCTACAGGTTGGGAATTGGGGAATTTAGCTAGATCAATTAGGGATTGATCTAACTAGGGATTAGAATTGGGGATTTTGAGAACAAGAAGAGGGAAAAGGGGTGTTGCAGCCGCAGCTTTGGAGAAGGAAAGGGGAGGGAGGATACGCAGGAGAGAGAGAGGGAAGAGAGAATTAGGCTTTAGGTTTTTGGTTCTGTTATTGCTTAATCCCAAAATAAGACCCTATTACAGATTATATAACCTGTCTAATTCCTATCTGCTACCCGAATAATAAAACATAACAATTAACTCCCTGTTTATTCCCCCAAATACCCAAATAATCCCCCAATCCATAAAACCCGACACTAATACGAAATAACCGAAAACAGCTAATAATTATGTTTCCCACACATTTTGAGGAAAATAATCAAAATATATAGGTGACAAGCATTACTGATTAGGGATTAGTGTATGTGTGACAATTCTTACTAATCAATGCTCAATTATTATACATGGACATTATCGTTACTAATTTGGGATCAATCGTTATAATTAGTTATGTGCATTGTCATTACCCATCAAAGACTCAATCGTTACTCACCCGCATGACATACACTACTAACTAACTAAGGTTCTAATCGTGAAGAGGCACGATTCGACAAAAAACTAAAATTTAGCTTGAGAACTTGTATGGCAATGAACTACGTTCATCTGCTATCGCCAGATATTGTCCAGCTCGGGATATACTATCCTCACTGGAAAGACGAGGTACCAACAATATTCATAGCGAGAAAGCTCATTAGATTATTTTTTAGGACACATAATTAGTTTTCTGATATTTTGTTTATCGACGTCTATTTAATATTAGGTTTTTTAGTTGAAAATAAACCGATGGAGATGTCTCCATCCCTCTCTCTTGGATGTTCTTTTCCACAAAATGTGGTGAAGAAAAGTTGGGGATCTTTTTAGTTGGAGCAATGAGGTCGAGGTGGCGATTTGAGTTGACTGAAATATTACAAATATTCAAATCTAATTAAAACCTGTTGGTTCAATGTTGGGAATGAAAGGTAAGTTTTATATTAAATAACCCCTCGTAGAAAATCAGACTTAGAAAGGGATGTCTCCTGCATTTTGACATACTAAGTGACGATTATCAGTAGAAATATTGTACCATGATGTAGATTTATGAAAAACCCTATTTAAACTAGTTATTAAGTATATATAGGAGGTTTTGCACCAAGAATTGAGAGTGTAGAAAGGAAAATTGATTGGTCAAGAAAACAAATTTGGCCAAAAAAAAATGTGGATATGATGAATTTAGGATTTCATTCTCTTAATTCTCTAAGGTAAACGATATATATTCGTTCAAATATATAATGGATGGGTTTCCATCCCCATATCCATCTTCAAAACCCTCAATCCAACGATCCGTAAAATTTAGACCAACAAGTTCTTATATTAGATTCATGTCATGATAATCTGCTCAATAGGATTACAACAAATATATTAAGACTCCTGGCTTGCTAATAAGCTGAACTAATTATTAACCAAATGAGAGGGTTATACTGTTCTACTCCTGCAATAAACTCCTGGAATAAACGATACTCAAGATATTTTCAGTGAGATACCTCTGTCTATATAATGAATAAAATTGA